AGTGTTGTGACAGCCAAACTCCCCCACTGATAGACCCCTCTTTTGGGTCATGAAATGACTTAAGGTTTGTGTACTAAGTGAGACTCAAAGTAAAGCTAACCCACCAGTCTTGGGAGAAATGCAAAAAGGAAAGTACAATTCTGCTTTCTTGTTGCTCCCTCGAGACGGTAATGAACTGTTGTCTCAAGCTGATTGTAAAATTATAATAGTACTCCTGGGATGGGAAACCAAGAGCTTTAGAGATCTGTTGAAATGGCTGTATAAACAAGACATATCATTGAGAGAATGACTATTGAATCCTGTATTAATCTGGTTTGAGCTGGAAGTTTCCAGAAGGTTGAGCATGCTCTATGTGAAACTGGGAGGTCATACAACTAATAATGTGCTGTGAGATTTCTGAAAACTGAATGCTTTCCCAAAATTAAATGGAGTCAAAAGGTATACTGTGTGACAGATGGAGCAATTACATATAAAATGCAAAGAAATAGCATCAGCTTAAGCAGTAATTGATAATTTTTTGCTGCAGTTTAGAGGCATCAAAATGGATAACTAAAATTCAAGCACTGGTAAACTGCCTGCATGGGACCTGACTACATTATATATACACGATACATATTACCGGAACAAAGGAAGATGTAGGATAAATTGTGAATACATCTGGGAAAACTTGCAACCCCAGAAAATCTGAATGAGAGTTTTATTCATTATCAAAGGAAACGTGAGCCAGAGGGTGTGCTTACAGTGGGGGTGACCACTTCATTTGTGACAGATGTATGCACAGCATCAAGACTGAGTCTGGGAATACAAGGTGACTTTACATCCATAGATAAATGAAATCAAGTATCTTTTAAAACCACATGGGTAAGTGGTTCAGAATGAAAAAATTTTAGAGAAAGAGGCTTAGTAAATTAAAGTCTACAACTGCATTGCACACAGAGCTTCCAAGGGAGCAAAAAAGTAGCCCTGCTTTATTATGGCTATGTTGACTGGCACTAGTTTGGAGCTGCCTCATATATGCCAACATTATTCTGCATCTGCACTATCACACTATATCCTAAAAAAAGGAAACATTTTCTGGCACGCAAAAACCCTTTACAAAAGTAGTTTGACACCGTTCAATAAGGAATTACACCATGCATTTTTCACTCAACAATTAATGGCATTTTAGGACAAATGAAAAGAGGTCACCTGGCATTTAATATATATGTTATGAAGGCACTTCTTTTTCTAGTTGTCATTAGCAGTAAGGCCTCTTAAGACTCTCTAAAAAATTAACTTCTATACAAATGTAATCTTCAGTAGAGCTATCATATCTACAACATATTTAATATATGTAAGTAAATGGTTCCTGGCCTTGAACATTTGGAAAATAATTTCCCATGCTATTAACATTTTGAAATATTTTTCTTTTCACTTTTGAAAAGTGAAACACAAACCTTACAAACCAAGTACGCCAGTCAAACCCCAGGTAGGTCAATAGAGATATTCCTGAAATTCAGTCTTTAATGTACTAGATCACTACCACTATCTGCCCTGCTCTCTACTCTACTGCTAGTTCCAGGAGCACTGTTAAGATTTGCCATCTATGTTTTATGCAGGATGAATGAGTAAATAGTTCTTAGACTGCAGAAAGGCCAATCCTATAATGTGATCATCCCCCTGTACTCAGCACTGGTGAGGCTGCACCTCAAATACTGTGATAGGTTTGGGCCCCTCACTACAAGAAAGACAGAGAGGTGCTGGAGCATGTCCAAAGAACAACGAAGATGATGAAGGGTTTAGAGCACAAGTCTTACGAGAAGGGGCTGGAGAAAAGGAAATGTAGGGGAGACCTTATGGCTCTCTACAACTACCTGAAAGAAGGGTGTAGCGAGGTGGGGGTCGGTCTCTTTTCCCAAGTAACAAGTGATAGGACAAGAGGAAACAGCCTCAAGTTGTGCCAGCTGAGGTTTAGCTTGGATATTCAGAAAAATTTCTTCACAGAAAGGGTTATCAAGCATTGGAACAGGCTGCCCAGGGAAGTGGTTGAGTCACCATCCCTGGAGGTATTTAAAAGACGTGTAGATGTGGTGCTTGGGGACCTGGTTGAGTGTGACTTGACAGTGTTAGGTTTATGATTGGACTCAATGACCCTAAAAGTCTTTTCCAACCTAAATGATTCAATGATTCCATGATTCTATGGATAGTACCCACAGTATGAAAAAAATCCAATGTGGTAGGAACACAGAAACCCAGTTTGAGAATTCATTGATGTAATACAGTTTATCAGATCTCAAAATGAATTTAAAGACCCCTCACACCCAAGAACTTAGTTATAAAATTATATTTCAGTTACCAATAGACAAATGACTTTTCCACAACATGTAGAAAAAACAAAGTTCCCACTCACAGTGTAATTAAATACATTTTAAAATTTTATTATGTTGTTCTGAAAATTGGTTGCTCCATGATTTCTTCAAGCTGTGAAGAATGAAAAAAATGAAATGAAGAATTTTTCAAATATTACAGATAACCTTATTTCACATACCTGTTTTATGTGATATTTGTGGCTCATCACATCTAGTAGTGTGGTGTGGTGACATTTTCTAAATTCGCACTGTGTTGTTCTTTCCCAAGAACAGAACAACGCTGTTCTGAAACAGAGTTGCTTCAGGAAGCACATTAGAGAGAAAATCTTTTCAATGTGTTACAGGTAGATATATATATTGATGATTTTTGGGGGGATAGTAGCTGAACTAAAATATTTTGGGACACATCTACTTCTTTCACTCAAAGTACTATATATGTGGATTACAATCTAAATAATTACACAGACAGATTTTGTCTACAGGCAATATATATAGTCACATTGATTTTGGTTTTTTTTTTCAATTCATAGGAATGCTATGTGGTAGTTGGTTTTATGTTTGGCATATGATGATCATATTTTTTTATCAAACAATTAGAGGAAAACCTCACTGGGGTAACTAAGATCAAAATTTCTTCTTTTATGTGTTTTCAAGTTTGTGTCTAAGTGGATTTATTGTCTATTAATAACTATTTTGCAATGTTTTACCTGAATCAAAAATAGATTATGGACACTTTACTGGTGGAGTACTTGGTTTATCTAAATACAAAATTAATTTTATTTGGGTAGCACTCGAGAAAGGGTTCAACCTTCCTGGGGCTAAAACTAATCTGGAAAAGTATTTAAAAAAGGGCAAAACTTCAATGGTGACTGAGATTTAGAGCCCGTATCTATAATTTCTCAAAGAAATTGATAGATTAGACAACATCTGTATTTCATTGGCAGTGATATTTTACCTAGTTAATTATTTACTGAATATACATAATTGAATCCATTCATGTAGTACATACACAGTAACTTGTGTACAACTGCATTGAAGGTGCAAGCTTTGTGTGGAGACAGTCTCAGCCACTGCTTTTCACATTTTGACTCACTAATGACCATCACTGCATATATAATAACAGCAGTGTTTCCGGAAAATTTCGGTATTCAGTCTGTATCAAGAAGACAAGAAAAACAGCGCACAAATAGATGCCCCAGACTGCACATATTAACAAATCTTGAATACTTCAGTAACAATTAACCACATTCTGTCTTACAATCATGGACTGAGATTTACTTGAAACCTTGAATTTGAAGGATATAGGGACATTTTAAATAATAGAATAAAAGGGAGTAATAAAATAATTATTTTAGCTAAATGTGATGTTTCTGTGACATATTCAGATTTTGTACACAAACTCATACATGACCAAATTAATTAAGTATACTGTTCTTTTTCAGTATGGCTTGAAAACACACTTCCAAATAAAGACAATTCAGGAAAAAAATTGTTCGAGTGGTCACTTAGACCATTTTATTTGCTTAGTAGCCATACTTCATTTCTAAACTAGCTTAGAAACTGAGTTTCTTATTCATGTTTCACTCTTTATCAAGTAGCTTTTTACATTACAGAGGGCTACTTACTACAGGAGTAAGCACAATATAATGAAACGCCGGGTGCAAGGATAGCTTAGTGTCATTCTTTTTTCAGTCAGAAAACAGAAGTATTGCCCAAGGAGAGGAGTGGGGAAAACTATGTTTATTTCCCCTTGCTCCCATAAGCACAGGCCATGGCATGTAGGACGTGTGTGTGTGTGTCTGTGTGCATGTATACACCTCAAAAGTATTTTGAAAAAAAAAATCTGAATAGAAATTAAAATGTATTCTTTACTAAATCTTCTAATAAATAAGTGCAAGTTCTGTATCATGGTAAGTAACAGTTTTCAGTTATTTTCTAGGTTTTTCTAAAGAGCATGAAATGTGGTATCTTATGAACCAAGGCTACTTTTGGACCAATTTCATGTCTGTGATTGACTCAACTCTGTTTCACCTTTGTTTACAGTCTATTGTTTAAAATATCTTTTTGCTTATATGGGAAGCAAGGTAAAATATAAAGGAGGACTTTATGGTTTGTCTTGGTCCATTCAAGTTGTGTGACACAATGATCATTTTATTTGCATTGGTTCCATCTAAAATTCAGGTTGTGGCTAATTTGTAATAAATCCTAATGAGGATGAATAAAGTGTTAAGCCATTGAAGATAGTGACTGAAGACATTATTTCTTCCAGGTTACAGAACAGAATGAAATAAATTGCATTTCTTATGTAGAAACCATAATTTGATAATTTTTTAATATACTTTTTTGTTTATATTATTCTTTTTTAATAGCACATTAATTTTGTTTTTGCAGAAATCACTTTTAACTGAAGTAACTGCATTGTCACAGAATTTGATACATTTTTTCAAATATTTTCAATTTGTTCTTCTTGACATTTTATGTTTATGTGCAGTTTGCATTTTTTTATGTTTTTCAAGTTCAAATGTAACAGATTTTGACATTTTTGTTACATTTTTCTTTTTTTTGTACTAGTGGTTTTTTTTTATTTTTGAGAACCTGCTGTTTTTGAATTCTCTTTTTTTCCCTTTATTCTCCTCCTCACTATGATCCCAGGAGCCAACACAAAGAAAAGCGCAGATGATATAACCAGTAATGATCGTGGTGAAGATGAAGGTATTTTTTGTTTTTTCAAAGCTCGACCCTGATGCATGAACATAAACTTTTTAATTTTTATTATAATTATTATTGTTATTGTTATTGCTGTTATTTCAACATGATTTTTAGTTCTTATTTGCAGAAGCACACTTCGGTGTGCTTCTTTATTTTCTTCTTTAGAAATTACTTTCATTGTTTTTCTTTTTAAAATCCAAATTAGCATATAGATGACTACAGTTCCCCTGTGACATAGGTGTAAAGTTCATTCCTAAATATGTTTGAAGTCAGTAACATAAATATTATTTGAAACCACATACTTTTTCCCCGTTGTTCTTTCTTAGGTTGAAAAAAATGGAATTTAAAAGCATGCATGTGCTCTTTTCCCTCCTACATATTTTGTAAATTCACCTGTTTGAAATTCATGAAAAAACTCACATATATCCTTCCTTTCACTTCCACTTTCCCCAGTGCACATGCTGTACATTGATGCAGTTGAATTGTGCTTTGTCCTTGCTATTTTTATTTACTTATTTTTTTCTCACAGGATGTGGTTTATTTCAGGACACAAAAATAAAGGAAGCTGTTGATGTTGCTTTATTGTTTTTTCCTGTAATCAGCTAGCATTTGAGATACATTCGTTCTGACTCTGACCACATTCCCACTGAAATCAATGACAATCACTTTCATTGACTTCTTTCAGAGTTGGATTGGATTCCCTGAAAGGAAATGTTAAAGTTCAGAGTGAAGAACCCCCAAAAAAGTTTTACAAGGAAATACTTTTTCTTCTTTTGGCACAGCAAAGCTATTTAAGATGCACCGAAATAGAAAGAAGTCATGAAATCCTCCTCTATTCTCACCCTTCCTTTTCATTAAAGTTACACTGACAGTTTATTTTACTTTATATATTTACCAAATTAAGAAAAATATTTTTCAAATTAATTGAGAAAATAACAACCTTAGGTAGTTTATTGGTCTGTTTTTGGAGCAATGTGTTTCTTATTCCTCTCATGCTTGGCCAATTCAAAGTGTTAATCTATATCTTTTTTCCTGTTTTCTTCTATCTGACATCAGTTCAAATAACTTTGAAACATTTGTCCTCTCTGTTCCCCTTACAATCACTCATACTGCAGTGAGGATACCATCTCCTCTTTTCCTGGGAGTTCAGCTCAATTTTAGCTATTCTATCCATATATAAAGTACCGTAATAAAAATCTCTGGTCTTTCATTCACATTGGTTGCCCTCTACTGTACCACCTTCATTGCTGAATTACACTATTTCTTATAATACAAAAATGCTGTGCAGAATACTCCAAAATTATTGTTATTTTGTGAATATTATGTTCCTATTTCTGTAAAATATATACTTTTTTCAAATTATGGTATCATCATTTGCTATACCAAATTCTGTAGTTAATTTTAAAGCAAAAGACAGGTAACAAACAAAACCAAAATTAATTTTAAAAAGATAGATATTGGATTATGAATACATTATTATTCAGACTTCTTAAAACATTATAAAACATTATAGTGTCATGATTAACAAGGATATCCACTGTAGATCTAAGCACATAAAACATGAAGCTGATTTCCATTATGTTGAAGCTAATCATGTTCCCATTGAAGGGGAAGAGGAGACCTCCTATTGACTTCAGCAGTGAAAGATTCAACCCTGAGGTAGAGCTATGTAATAAGGAAAGATTATATACAACAAATCATGCCATGACACTTTGGAGAGAGAAGGGAAAGCTAATTCAGCAACACAAATAATTGTGTCAAATAATTTTTTGAAGGCTTAGCTGAGCCTTCACAGATTAAACACTTTCATGTACTTTGACGAAAATGCTGAGAATAAAAAAAATACATCCACTAGAATGTACCTCATCGCTTTCTATGATCTGTTTAATCGCTGTGTTACTCTTATAGTCACAACAATTAAAAAGATCTTATCACAAAACACTTTGTTCTGCTGCTCAAGTATAACACATAAAATAAAACATGTAAAGTGTGTATATTTTTATGTAAAGAAGGCAGATTCTACAAGAAGCCTTAAACTCCATCAACTGGGCAGGTGTACATTGAAGCCTATGTTCCTTGCACTCAGCTGGCAATTTTTGATATTGAGGCTAGTGCATACACATGAGTGAAGTAAAAGTGGGTGATAGGAGTATGACCAGTCATAATTTACCTTTAAATATGCCCAAAGGAGTTCCACATATACAAAATATTACATATGTGTTGACTCATTGCTGATCACACTTCTGGTATCTTTGAGTATTTCCTAACAAACCTGAGGAGAGGGAAGAGTTTTGGAAGGCTTTCAGACCATGTCCCCTACCTCTAGTTATTTAGCTCAGCTTTTTCTTCCTCCACTTCCCTTTTCCACTGTTCAATATATGCCTATCCCACCCAAAAGGGAACACAACTTTTTTTGTTGTTGTTGTTTAATAGTCAGAGGCTCTGCTTTCCCTTGTATGTTGTACTACATGATTGAAAGAAGAGCTCCTATTCCACATGCAGTTTCACTGAATTATTTGTAAAAGTTATCTATATCTAACAGCAGCTTGCTGAATGCCCTTTGCTTTTTAGATGAGCTTAACCATTGTTCCCACTGTTTCTGTAGAGAACAAAAATTCCTGATTCAGGTAGTCTGAACCACCCCTGGAGTCAGGAGCCCAACTTTTTCATTATTAGAGGAAGAGATATGAATCCAGTCCTAAATGTACCCCAAATCATTGATTAGTGCAGCTTTATAACTCACTCTGAAGTATGAAAATATTACCATCAATTTCATTTAACTTTCATTTAGAAATAAAGACCAGGCTGTTTATCTGTTTGAAAGTAGTCAAGAGCATTTCTGTGTATACAAACGACCAGACATACCAATAAGAGGCATTAATTTTACAACACAAAAGACATCTTTTGCTTTAAATACAAAAAATATGGGCCATGAATTCACATAAATTCTCTTTGTTTTGTAACTTCTAGGCTATTTGAAATGAGGAACGATTTACTATATTTACTTCTATAAGAACAATTTGATTTTGTGATATTATCTCTTACTGAACTATTGGGAATATAATTTCAACAATTATGTCTCAGTAAGAAATTGGAAAATATGTAATATTGCAATTTTATTATTAATGTAGAGATACTTCTAAATTAACTTATACCTGTATAAGAATATTCTAAAAGAAATCAAGATTATTCCATAATTTGATGTTTGTCTTTAGGCTTTTAGATATTCATATTCAAAGTAAATTCCTTGTAGTATTGAAGGCATTTCAAGCGTTCTGAAAACATTTCAGAGGAAATAGTATTTGAAGTAACCAAGAGAGGTATTCAAAGCATAAATATTAGGCCTATAGGATGATCCTGAACTGCATAAGGTAGCTGATTAATGTGGTGGTAATGACATTGAAAACATAGGAATTAAGAATATTTTCAGCACTTTTATAAATTTTTAATGCCATATTTCATTTTTTTTTTATTACTTTATTATGTTTTCCTTACTTGAATTTTTTCAGACATTCATGATCAGAACAGCAAGAAACCCGTTATGGTCTACATCCATGGTGGATCTTACATGGAGGGTACTGGAAATATGATTGATGGCAGCATCCTAGCAAGTTACGGAAATGTCATTGTTGTCACTCTCAATTACAGGCTGGGGGTTTTAGGTAAGTGATTCTTTTCTTCCTCACCAACTGCATAGAAATATTTTATTGCTTAATTTATCTACTGATGGATCATAGATCCTTAGGCCAGTTTTGTTTTTAAAACAGAACGTTCTTTGCTGGTGGATAGTTTGACTGTATTATATTCATTTTGAATTCTGTTCAATACTTCATGGAAACTTATCTAGGCTACATGTCCCCTTCTTTTTGACAGCTGCCTTCACCTTAGACAAAAATGACTGGACATCTATAATTATGTTAGTGCTGGTTTATGTTAAATTTGTCATCATATCATATTTGCCCTTGGCTCAGTGATTTAACAAGTTTTGAGAACTTGTATCCTTTTCTCATTAAAATCTTCTTAATACCATGTAAAAAAAAAAAAAAGAAGAAGAAAATTAGTCAAGTATGGAAATTCTCCAGTTTCAAAACAGTTGGTAATGGCAGGGAGAGAGAAAAATACTACTATTGACTTGCATTTATTATTTTTGTGTGCAAATTGGTTTTTAGGGCAGAAGATGTAGAGATAATACAGACAAAACTGGCTATATGCACTGATGGAATTTATGTTGCAGGTAATATGGAATCAAAGGGTTTCAAGGAGTGATATAAAATTATCTTCCTAAATATAAGGAACTCCATAATCACAAATTATAATATTGAAAGAGATTAATACTTCTGTCTTTCAAACAGAACAAAAGCTGCATCTTCTTGACATTATAAACATTCTTTTGTCAGCATTACATTTAATAACAAAATAAATTTAGATCCATGGCAACAGAATAAAAATCTTTTCTGCTTTCTCTGTGATTCCAACTCCTGGATGTTTGCACGTACCAGGCTTTTCTCCAAATGAAGGTTTGTTTATTGAAGTTCTACTTTTCCACAGAAAATTTAGCTAAAAATTTGCTCATAATAACAGATACTAGGAATGCTTTTTATTTTAATGGAAAATCATATGGTTGGTACAGAATAGCACAGACTGCTAGAATGCTCATATTTCAAACACTTTAGATACACAAGGTAAAGTACAGTAATTCTTTTGTTTGTTTGTTGGTTTGGGTTTTTTTTGTTTAGAATGTCTTTTTAAAAGATTTTTAATCTCGTTTTTCTTGATAGCAAGTCTGATCTATATCCTTGGCATGTGCTGTTTTGGAACACAGGAAACTTCTTTTGCTAAGTTATCTATTAATGTGGTTAATGTGTTTCAACAATGTTCTAGATCAGCAGACTACTGAGAATTTTATCTTGTCCCTAATTTTGACTCTTGTTTAAATACAAAAGAGGATTTTTTCTACGTTAGAGTTAGATGTAAACATAAAGCCAGGAATATAAAAATATATTTTGGTATATTTATGCATACAAACTTGGTACTTAGAAACACCACCACCACCACCACCACCCCCCTCCCCCCCCCCAAAAAAAAAAGAAAAAAGAAAAAAAGGAAAGTAAAAATACATGTGAAGAAGTCAAGACTCTAAAAAAAGGGATTATTGTTGTTGTTGTCAAATGAAGTGTATACCCAGGAACTTGGTGATAGTTATTTCTCTGTAAAAAAGGTTATTTGATGGATCTCTTAAAGGGTTTTCTTTTGGTTTCTTAAAACTAGAATTGTTGAAGGATACAGATAATTATAGTAGTTTAAAATGATTCATTGTCCAGCTGCCTCATATCAAGCTAAAGGAAAAAAATGCAATATTTGCATTTTCTGTATTTATATTTTCTGTATTTATATTGAAAACAAACAAAAAAGACAGAATGCTATATTTCTGTATTGTGGCATTAGGAAATAACGCACAATACAGAATCATTCATATGAGAAATTGAAATGTAATAGCTGTGAAGATTTAAAGTGGATTAGGAAAAATGCAGTTTTATATTTGGCATTAAATACTACTTGTTAACAGTGGCAAATTCAGCTTTTGAGACACTAGAATTTATTCCGTTATAAAAGGTCTATGTTTGAAATAGAAAAAATAGAAGATATACAGATCATGTATTTAGCACTTAAAAAATCAGAAGAATTGTGTTTTATGAGGATATTTCTGTTTTTCCTTCCTTGGTGAAAGGTAAATATGATCCTTGAGAATGTATTAGGTTCTGCCTAGACATTGGAAGAATGGTGAATTCCATGTATTTTTTACTTGCTTCATAAGTAAAAAAATGAAAGAGAAAACACAAATTTCTTCATGTAAACAACCATATGAAGAACAAATATGATTATTCATAGAAGTTAAAAAAGAAGCATAATTATTATGGCATACAATTTAACGATTGACAATATTTGTATCCATTTCTTCTAGTCTGGATTATCTTCTTTTTGAAAGATATACTTATTTCTGTAAATCTAGTGTGTTTCAGTTGCATTTGATTTGTAAGTTTATACATAAGAAGACACATACAAACTTGATTTTAATGACAGAGATATGTAATTCTATAACTACTACCACATCCTGTGATGGAGGAATATGCATTGAACTGATCACAATGATGAGTTACTGAAGACCCTTTATATATATATATTTCCTTCCTCTGGAAAATTATCACTTGAATGGACCTGAATACTGCATGTTATTATACTTACCATAAATGTTAGTTCTGTTCTTGAGGCACATTAAATTATTTTCCTTTCAGTCTATATTGTGTCATTAACAGCAGTAGATAGAAAATATATCACAACTGCATAGATAATCACTGAATTATATTATCCAGAAAAATCATAGAATCATAGAATGGTTTGGGTTGGAAAGGACTGTAAAGATCATCTGGTTTCATGCCCCAAGACACAGGCAGGGACACCTTCTACTAGACCAGGTTGCTCAAAGCCCTATCCAACCTGGCCTTGAACACTTCCAGGTATCCATCCACAACTTCTCTGGGCAACCCATTCCAGTGTCCCACCTCCCTCATCATAAACAATTTCTTCCTTCTGTCCAATCTAAATCTACCCTTTTTCAGTTCAAAACTGCTGCCCCTTGTCCTACTGCTACAGGCCTTGCTAAAAAGTCTCCCTCCACCTTTCTTCTAAGCCCACTTTATATATTGCAAGGCTACAATAAGGTCTCCCTGGAGCCTTCTCTTCTCCAGGCTGAACAACCTTAACTCAGCCTTTCTTCATGACAGAGGTGTTCCAGCCTTCTGACCATTTTCACGGTCCTGCTCTGGAACTGCTCGAGCGGGTCCATGTCTTTCTTGTACTGGGAACCCCAGAACCAGGTGCAGTAGTCTGGGTGGGGTCTCAAACCTGATCTTCTCCTACGACAGAAGGGACTTCATTCCCCCAATCTCTGCCTCGATGTTTAGGGGCTTGACAGATGTGGGAAGAAAGAATACCAGTGAAAACTGAGGGGTAAGAAATTGTAGATTACCTCAGCCTTCTGCATGCTAGTTTGCACTAGTTCTCCTGGTTTATTTACTGGGGGGAGTACATCTTCCTTTTATGAGCAACATACCTGTAGAAGCCCATCTTATAATTTTTCACATTCCTTGCCAAATTCAGCCTTAGCTTTCCTGATCCCAGCCCTACACGCCCAGGCAACATCCCTATGTTCTTCCCAGGATACACTGCCTGTGCACTTCCTTCTTACGCTTTAGTTTGACCAGGAGATGCTCACTGAGACAAGCTGGTCTCCTGCCTTCCTTGCCTGATCTCTTACATGTGGGAATCGAGAGCTCTTGCACTCTAAGATAAATGAACCTTAATGAGCTGCCAGCTCTGTTCTGCTCCTTTATTCCTGAGGGCAGTTTCCCAGAGGCTCCCATCTGTTAATTCTTTAAACAACTGAAAATTTGCTCTCCTAAAATTCAGGGTACTGACTCTACTCTTCACCTGGCCCATATCCCTCAAGATTGTGAATTCCACTAAGGCATGATCACTGCAGCCTAGGCTGCAACCAGTCTTGACCACTTTTATTAGTATCAGGGTTGGAAAGAAACAAGTCCAGTCATGCTTCTCCCCTGATTGAGCTGTCTATCACTTGGATTAAGAAATTATCCTCAACGTACTCCAAGAGTCTCCTGGACTGCTTACAGCTTGCTATGCTGCTCTTCCAGCAGATGTCAGGGTGACTGAAGTTCCCCAGCAGGATCAGAGCCTGCAAGTGTAAAGCTTCCTGCAGTTGAAGTAAGAAAGCTTCACTGACATCCTTCCCTTGATCAGGCAGCCTGTAGGAAACACCAGCCACAAGATTTCCTTTGTTGGCTTGGCTTCTAATTTTCACCTATAAGCTCTCAACCTGTTAATCGCAGTCTTTCAAAGATGACTGTGAGTAGTCAATCCATTTTTTTCTATAGAGGGTAACCACCCCCGACAAATATAAAGCCATTGGTTGCATTGCTCCAGTTGTGTGATTTTTCCCACCGTGTTTCAGTGACAGCTGTTAGATCATAGCTTCCTAGCTGCACAGTGGCTCCCAGCTCCTTTTGTTTGTTATGATGCTGTGCACATTGGTATAGAGACACTTCAGCTGGACTATCAACCATGTCACCTTCTTAAAGGAAAATGCTGTAATTCCTTTGGGACATTTCATGGTGTTCCCCTGCTGCTTCCTGATATATCAGCAGCCCCTGGCTCTTCTCTGTTACCCAAAATTCCATCCCCTTTCCCAGATAAATCTAGTTTAAAGCTCTCCTCATAAGTCCAGCCAGCTTGTTAGATAAGGGGCTCTTCCCAGAGGGTCAGACGAAGCCCATCAGCTCCCAAGAGACCTGGCTTCTCAAAGGTAGAATCCACGATCATAGAAGTCAAAACCTTGAGTATGGCACCAACTACGCAGCCAGGCATTCACCTGTTCAATTTGCCTCCCCCTTCCTCTGCCTGGGAGGATAGAGGAGAACACCGCCTGTGCTCCTGATACTTTTAATATTGCTCTGAGGGGCATGTAGTCTAAGTTTCCTTTTTGCAGTATCAATAGACCCTACATGGAATAATAGGAACAGATGATACTCTGTAGGGTTCATCAGGCTTGGCAGCCTCTCAGAGGTGTCACGAATTTGAGCTCCTG